GACTTCACGTCTACCAAGGCAACCCTGTCAGCAGTGGCGAAAATCAGGTCGTCGACGTAGACTAGAACAAAGAACGGTGTCGAGCTATGACGAACGAACAGCGACGGGTCGGCAGACGACGGCTGAAAACCAAGGTCAGCGAGAGTAGAACGAAGGGTGTCGTGCCACTCACAAGGAGCCTAACAAAGACCGTAGACCAGTCGCCTCAGCCTCCACTGGGTCCTAGGAGGGAAAGTGCTAGTGAAGGCAGAGGGACGACGCAGCCAGACCTCCTCGTGTAGGCTACCTTGAAGAAACGCAGTGGAGAAGTCGAGTGAGTGTAACTCGTAGTCTCTCTGTGCCGCTACGTGCAGTAACACCCGAAGAGTGGTCATCTTTGGGGTGGGCGTGAAGGTCTGAAGAAGTCAACTCCCTCGCGCTGACTGAAACCTCTAGCCACGTAGCGCGCCTTGAAGACCGGAGGAGATCCTGGTGGCCGCTTCACCCTGTAGATCTGCATACCATCGACTACGTTCGCCCCAGGGGGGGGAACCTCGTCGACGTAGGTGCCTGTGGATCTGTACGAGGCCATCTCTGCGTCCATGGCAGCTCTCCACTGAGAGGCCCAAGGCCCTGACACTGCCTCAGTGTAAAGGGCGTCTTGGTCTCCCTCAGGGGCGAGCAGCATGGGATAGAGATGAGGGGAAGCGGCTGCCAGGAACTCCAACTCGAATTGCCTATCCTCTAGGGCGTCACAGCCAAGGGCAGACACACCCCCGACGGCCAGAGGACTGGAAGGAGGAGCAGCCACAAGACTGGTGGCGAAGTCAAGGCGGCGAGTAGAGGCAAACTCAGTGATTGCGGTAGTAAGAGTGGAGACAGAGGACACAGAGGCAGAGGATGGGTAACAAGAGAGGCGAGAACACGAGAGAGAACAGGACGGTACGTGCGGTAGTGGTCAGTGACAGGAGTAGAAAGCGAAGAAGTGAGGGCCGACTCAGGAGGAGACGGAAGCACAGACGGAGATGGACGAGGCGGACTAGAACGATGTAAGGTAGTACGAAGGTCAGTGAAGGGAACAAGGGACGAGGGACGAGCACGAGGGGAGCGACGAGAGGCCCAAGTCTGAGAAGGAGGGGACAACGAAGACTAAGAACGAGGGAAAACAGCTGGAGAGGGGTCAGGAGGAGGAAGCGGAGGACCCGAGACGGGAGGAGAGGGGGAGGAGGAAGGAGAGCGAGAGGGGAGACCGAGGGCCCGAAGACCGGAGACAGGAGGAGGAGGCGGCGGCTGCTGCTGCTGCTGCTGCTGTCGCTGCTGCTGCTGCTGCTGTCGCTGCTGCTGCTGCTGTAGCGGCTCCAGCTCGTGCGCCACCTGCTGCTGCGGCGGCTCCAGCTGTGGCTGCTGCAGCTGCTCCTACTGCTGCTGCTGCTGCTCCTCCAGCCGCTACTGCTGCCAGAGGAGGGGCTGCTGCTCCTGCTGCTGCTGCCGCTGGGCCAGGTACCACGCCGCTGCTCCATCCGCCGCGGCTGGCAGACTAGAAGGTGGCTGACGAGCCTGGGCGTCGCCTCCACCAGCTGCAGTAGCGGGGTCACCGGCCGCTGCAAGAGACGCCTCTCCAGGCCCTGCACTTCCGCTGCCACCAGACGGCACGCCACCCCCGCCACCTCCGCCGCCAATGCCTCCACCGCCGCCGCCACCTGTACCCTGACCGCCCCTCTTGCCACCTCTACCTCGAGACCGCGAAGAAGTCGTAACAGCAGTTGCGATCACGTCAGTAGCAGCAGTGGCGAGAGAGGTTGTATAGGTGGGCAGCTGAGGGACACTGCACCCGTGGAACAGTGGAGGGGGCACAGCACCAAAGGCGGAGGCTACGGAGCAGAGGTTGCTCTCGACGTCCTTGAGCGCAGACTCAAGGACCTCGATAGTGAGCTCACTAGGGTGCTTCAGAAGAAGCGTGTCACGGACTGAGGCAAGGCGGTCAGGGAGGCTAGTGGCGATGAAGTAGATAGTAATCTCCATGGGGGGAGGGAGCAGTGCAAGCTGTGCGTCAGTGCAGGCAGTGCGGTAGCTAGAATCAAGCGAGCGTAGATTGAGTTATCAAGTCAGCAGAGCGCTCAGACGAGGCGAGGTCAGGGAACAGGAACGGTAGAGTCGGCCAAGAGAGACAGTGGTGGGAGTAGCGTAGTGGGCCTTAATCGCAGTTAGGAACTCACTAGCAGTGCGAACCTGACTGAAGTGGGCCTCCTCAGACTCAGGGAGGCTGCTGAGAGCGATGTAGGCCGCAGCGTCACGCGACTTCCACGCCGTGAGGTCAGCACGGTGGCTGGCAAAGCGGGCTCTAGCAGCGTCGTCAGGGGCAGAGCCTAAAGGCGTAGGGTCGTCAGGTGCTGGAAGGTCACCAGTAGCGTGCGCCCAGAGGGACTCACCCGCCTGGACCTGACTCTCCAAAAGGCGACGCACCCGCAGGAGCCACACCGAGAACTCGAGGGGTCGACCGTCAGCGTCAAAACGAAGAACTGTAGGAGTCGCCATAGTGGAAGTACGAGCAACAGGACGCGTAGTAGAGCAGAGGGAGGGCTCGCAGCAGGCCTAACAAGCAGGCGCAGCGGCGGAGAAAACGAGCAGACGTGGCAGCGCGAGCAAGCACGCACGCGTGCAGTAAGAGACAAGACAGCACAGCGGGCGAAGGGCGGGCATGCGTAGAAACGGGCGCAGCGAGCACTCAGGCGCAGGGCGGAGGGCGCGGGGAGGCGCGGACGCAGGGCGCAGGGCGCGGGGAGGCGCAGACGCAGGGCGCAGGGCGCGGGGAGGTAACGGGCGCAGGGCGCAGGGCGCGGGGAGGCGCGAGCGCAGGGCGTAGGGAGGCGACGGGCGACGGGCGCAGGGCGTAGGCCGCGGGGAGGCGCGGACGCAGCGGGCGCGCGGGCGTAGGGACGACGCGGCGGGCGCGTAGGGCGGGGGTAGGGACGCGACGGCGGGCAGGCGCGACGCGACGAGCGTTTAGGGCAGAGGGGGGAGGGCGCGTCGCGACGAGTAGCTGGGGAGGGCACGACGGGACTCTCAGAGGTCCACTGGTGATCCCCGGTTGATCCTAGGGAAGGGTTACAGCTACGTTGGCCTGGGGGGTTATGGGCGCAGTCACCCGCTACACAAACAAGCCCTTTTATCCCAATGGTCTAAGTGGTTGGGATTCTGACATGGTATTCTGACATGGTATGAGAGCGAAGTTCTCGGGTTCGAATCCCGGTGTGTGCACTTCGGGCATCCCAGAGCGGGGGGGTCTCAGAGATCCACTGGTGATCCCCGGTTGATCCTAAGGAAGGACTACATGCACGTTGGCCTGGGGGGTTATGGGCGCTCGGACCCGCTATACAAACAAGCCCTTTTATCCCAATGGTCTAAGTGGTTGGGATTCTGACAGGGACGACGGGCGGGGGCCGGGGAAGGCGCGATTCGACGGGCAGCGGGGGGGAAAACGCGACTCGACGGGCAGCAGGGGGGGGAAACGCAGCGGGCAGCAGGGGGGAGGGGGGGGAGAGAAGGTCGCTACGCTACGAGAGCAGTAGATCGGCGGAACGAGTGGTAACGAACGAACGCGACTAGAGCGGGTCGGCGCTAGGCTCGGGCAAGACGTGCGTAACTAGTACGACAGAGTGAGACAAGCTCGGGCGAAACGAACGAGGTCAGGAGGAGCGGGATCCCACAGGATCCGAACCTAGGTGATACCATGTCAAGAAAGGAAGTGATGATCTCATTCAGGGCCTGTGCTAGGTTTTGGGGCATCCTGAGGCCTCAGGGCAACTTTCCAGAATCTGAAAAAATGCCCTGATTTGTCAGGGCAACTTTTCGGAGGCTTCCTGTAATTTCAGGGCTTCTACAAAAAAATATCCTGGCCTGTCAGGGCAAAAATATAAACGTTCAGGGTTCATAATAGTTGATCGGCAAGTCAGGTTGAAGCTGCAGATATGCCTGCACGGGGGAGGGTTCAATCCGAAAACCTCGCCTCTCAAAGAAACTTCTACTGCCTAGGCCATTTCTGGATGTCTAAATGGTCGATTCAACAATTACTGACAATTTTGCTACGGGACTCCCCCCTCAACCACCCCCCCCCCCCCCTCCCCCCCACCAAAAAACGCGTGAGGGCAGGCCTCGGCATTCATCCTGACGCTACAAGGAAGAACACTACAGCCATTCTGAATGTTCAGGGTATTTCATATAAAAACATCCTGAGGCCTCAGGGTTAAAATTTACACTATTCTGAAATGACAGGGTAAATTTAAAACTACATCCTGAATTCAGGGTAATCAGGATGTTTTGCCCTGATAACGTGGGGCCTGATCTCATTGATGTGAGTTGGGGTACATATGACAAACCCTAACTTCTGGACCCCCTAAGACAAACCTCACTATAGGCTACAACATTTGACAGTCTTGATGGGGTGTTCTGACTGAGTGTTTTGATTCGGTATTTTGATAGGGCTTTTTATGGGTGTTGCGTTTGGAATTTTTTGGCAGTTATACTTTCCTTCTCCCTTTCCTTCTCCACCTCCCTTCTCCTTCATTTATGTCCCTCTTTCCCTTTTTCCTCTTTCTGTCTAGGATCATGTGATGTACGTTATAATTTGGGGGGGAATAGCATAGTCATTCTTGTTCAGATGCTCCCTCCTATCTTGTGTACTTCCATGCATTACCACAAACCCTCGTATGGCACCTGAAACACATATTAAACACCATACGTGCTAAGTGTTCTACTGAACAGGCGCTGATGATACAATAGGCACACACACGAGTCATGACATGTCAAGTACTTGCTCTATGCTGCAAGCTGGGAGCCCCATTATCCAGTTACTCATTAAGATGTGTACTTTATATCGCCAAAAATCAGTCTTCTCAGACACACAACAAAACCACCAGATTTGCCCACCACAGTTCCCAAAACTCACCCGGCCCGCACATCATCCACTCCAACCCCACCCCTTTTTCTCCCCCGATGTCAAGTCAGCACTGAGCAGCACAGGGTTACCGAGGGCGTGGGGAGGCGGGCAAGGGCTGAATGAACTCATCGTAACAGCCCTGCTCCCCATCCGCCTCGTAGCACGCTCGGCACAGATCAAAGTCCGGCAGGCTGAGGTTGACATGCAAGGACGGCAAGGAAGAGGCACACAAGGAAAGGGACACACCGAAAAAAAAGAAAAAGAAAAAGAAAAAAAAAACATTTTAGTCGACAAAAAGTCACCCATCGGCCTCATCGCACGCTCGGCACAGATCAAAGACCGGCAGGCTGACATTGGCATACAAGGATGGAAAGGAAGGAGCAGGGTGACACACACAAGGAAAGGGACACAAAGAGATGGCCGGCTGAAGTTGCCACGAGATCCGGCAAGGATGGAGGGAGATGCACACACGGGAAGGGGCACAAAGAGATGGCCGGAGCCGTGGAGGAAGGAGCGGGGGGAAAGGAGGAGCGGGGAGCAGAGGAAAGGGAGCTAGGAGAGGAAATCAAAGAAGATGGGAACGGGAATGCACGTGGAAGGCGAGAAGGAGAGAGTGAGTGAGTGAGTGGGTGAGTGAGTGAGTGAGAGAAAGAGAGCGAGTAAGCGAGTGAGCGAGTGAGAGAACGTACACATTGGACTTGTACCTAGCCCCCACAATAGGGCACATACGGCACAGGTCACACTCAATCCCCTCATGCACCACCGCCGCCGCTGCCGCCGCCGCTGCCGCCGCCGCCGCCGCCGCTGCAGCTGCAGCAGCAAGGTAAGCCTCATCCCCCTTCTCCTCAACATCCACGCCCTTCCCTTGCCCGCCCACAGGGACCGACAGCGGCACTCTCCCCCCTGCTCCTCCTCCTCCGGCAAGTGCCCTGGAGTCACGCGGTGAGACAGCCCGAGCAAACAAACCACCACCAGCACCAGCAGCGGTAGCCGCAGCAGGGACTACCCCCCCTGCAGCGCCCAACCCGTCCAGTGCTGCATGCCCTGCTGCTGCTGCTGCTCCTGCTCCTGCCACCCCCGGTACACCTGCTGGGGCTGCTGGAATGACTCCTCCTGCTGCGGCCGATACGGGTCTGGTGGCGTGTGGGGAGAGGTTGGGGATGAGCCCAGCCTTAGCCATAGCACCCGCCCCTCCGCCCACTATTGCTCCTGCAGGAACAAGCGCGGGGACTGGCGGAGTGACAGTAAGTCTGCCACTGGTGCCGCTGATGGTGCTGGTGGTGGTGGTGGCATGCAGAGCGGCCAGATCTGCTGCTGCTGATCCCACTCCTTGGGTTCCCACAATCGCCTTTCTTGGTGCAGCAGTGACGGCGGTGGTAACAGGGAGCTTCGCACCTGCTGAAACGACTCCAGCAGATCCCAGAATCGGCAAACCAGCAGCAGCAGCAGAAGCAGCAGAAACATCATCAGCAGCATGGCCTGGAGCAAAGGAAATCTGGAGCAGGAGAGAGGAGCGGTTCTTAACCGCAGCAGCCACGACAGCGTTGATTTTCTCCAGAGTCACCCCCAGGAGAAGGTCCGTGGCCCCATGGTCTTCCCGGAGTTCCACACCCGACGCTGACTGCACATGGATATACACACGCTCTGCACCGATTCCCTCTATTCCCTCCGCCTTCCGCCCCTGCCTGCTCCACCTGTTCCTGCCGCCTCCCCTCGCTTTCTTCGTTGCTGCTTTCTTTCCGAGTGGTTCTCCGGGTGCTGCTGTCCCGTTCGGTACTAAACCCTTCGTTCCCTCGGGCGTCTTTTGCGTTGATTCCTCCGCCTTCCCCCCATCTGCTACTCCCCTCTCACCTTCCTCCGCTTCTGCCTTCCCGTCACCCTCCGCGGCTTCCCTTCCGATCACCTCCACCTCCCTATCCCCCTCTCCCTCCTCCTCATATTCCTCCTCTTCTTCTTCCTCTACATTCACACTCAATCTGAGCGGATTCAGCTTCTGTAAAAACAGCGCGTCCTTTAAATCCCTATCGTCTATAAGGTCAACCGAGTCGCCCTCCGAGTCCCGGTACGTCACCACTAGCCGCTCCCGCACGCCGCTTAAACTACCCCCGTCACCGCTGCTACTACTGCCGATGCCGAAAAGCTGCTTTAAATGTTCATGGAGAGTGGAGATCGAGAGATCGGGCGTGCGACGCAGGGTCAGGCGGCGATTGCTGCCGCCACAAGTAGCCTGCAGGAGCGATAGTAACGGGAGAGAGGAAAGCAAAGCAGTGGATGATGGATGGGTTAACGGATGTGACTTATTGCGCAGAGTATAAGCGCCGGGTAACGCGGCGAAGCTCTGCGAGCACAGGGAAACATTCTCAAGTTAGCGGCCAGCCGCCAAAGGCGCAATCTCGAAACCTTCGCAGCGTTTGCAACGGGAGCTTCGCAATATTCTACCAAGAAGTCTAACGAAACGAAAGTACATGACGAAACGGCCCGAGGGCAGGCAAACATATGTTACAAGGTAAAGTCAGAGCTTTTGGAATCGGAATGTGGACATTGTACCTGATGTATTGAAAAACATAAATAACTAAAACGATCAATCTCCTCGTTTCCTCTTTTTTTTTACTCGCTATATTTTACGTCCGCCCCCCCCCAAAAAAGGATCGATCATCACCGTCGTCAACGATCTCTTCCCGCAGATGTCAACTAGCTAAAGGTTTCCCGCCATTTAACGTCCTCCAGCTAAATATTCCCCGTGCGGCGATCTGAGCTCGCGAGTCTTACGTAGGCAAAATTTCGCCTTTTACGAATCAGAGCTTACCTTTATAACGAGAATGTCCTCCACGCCGATTTCCATTTGAGAACACCCACGTGCGGGAGAGTGAAACACGCCTTGTGTATCCCGCCGAAATTGCGACGGGGCTCCAAGTACAAGGAACTTCAACGTCCGTGCCGGCGCTGGTCGGGTTTACGGCCCTGATCTGGCTATGGCTGGCAGGAAGAGTTTCAGATGTGTGAAGATGTGAGGGCGAGACATACGGAGGGGAGGGGTGGAGGTGGGAAGAAATGGCAGCCGAACGGGGCTGCAGGCGGAGTAGGTAAGACCATCTGGAATATGGAGTGGAGATGGGTTGGGAGGTGATTAGAATTGATGAGACTATCTTACACACAAATTACGCTAGCAAAGGCACATATAGCACATACATCAATCAAAAGCATGGTCTTCAAAAAAATTGTCGATGTTCTGAATTTAGTTTCCTGTAGAACAGGGTTCTCGCTAGGTTTAGGGCCTGTCTGACAAAACCCTCAAAAAAAAATTCCCCGTCTTAGGCTTTGACGACGAAATTTGTGTGGTCTGCAGTATAAGATGAAATATTTTTCCTAGTCTGATAAACTAGACGAAAAAAAAAACCAAGTCAGCCTACAAGAACACTACCTGCAATTATACTCATTCTATCAAACAACCTAGGCAGTAGCTAAGGACCTAGTCAGACTCACTAGAGCCGTAGTCCTCATTGCTATCACTACTACCATCCTCACTCCCCACGGGAACTGTGGCCCGTTCTTTCCTGGTAAGCCACGGGTACTCAACATCCATCCTTGCTGCTTCTGCTACCAGGGCCGCTTCTCGAGCAGCTGCTTCTGCTGCTGCCAGTGCAGCTGTTGCTGCTGCAGCTGCGGCCGATCTCTTCCTCGCACGCTTGCTCTGTCTCTCCCCGGACGCCAACAGCACATCGTTAGCAGGCCTTCGCTTCTTGGAAGCATTCCACCTCCTCAGCAACTCGGGCCACTCCATGTCGTAGTTAAGGAGCGACACAGCCATCAGCTCTCCCAGCTTCGCGTCGCACAGGTTCCCGCGAAGCCAACTCTTGATGATGTTTTGTCGTGAGAAGCCGCGCTCGCACTCGACGGTACTGAGCGGAAGCACGGCGACAGCCATCCACAGGTGGACGAAGATCGGGTAGCACGTCGCCCAGTCGGGGGAGGACAGCATGAGTTTCAGGCTCTCCGCACACCCGACATCCTCTTGGTGTGTGGCCAGGATGGTAGAGAAGGTGACAAGCTCTCGCTGCGCTCTCGCCCAGTTGATGCCTGCGGTTGGGGTGCACATGGGAACATGGGAACATGGGAACATGTAGTGTTTAGACAAGCATGTGGAGACAACGCTAAACATACAGCTCATTCCCGGCATTTAACGCACCTGGTATAGTGTCAGGGTCATCTGGCTTCCGCTTGAACATGTTGCGCAGAGACTGGAGCCATTGGCCTAGCCGTCGCTCACGCTTTGCCTGGTTCTTGGGATAGAATCTCTGCTTGAACAGCTTCGCCCCGTCGAGGTTTGACAGGTCTTTGAGGCGGTAGTCGAGCCGGCCGACCAGGGTCGTGATGAACTCGCGCGCCAGCACCAAACACGCTTGGTGGTCTCCACCGCTCGTCTGCCCCTTGATTTTCTCCTCGTGCAGTCGGTATCGATGGCTGACCGATGTGCCGTCGGAAGCAGTGCCAGCAACGAGGACCTCGCGGAACTCCCCAGATGCGTGCTTGTCGAGGAACGGGCCCAACGCGTCTCCCCCCTGACCAAACATCGCGTCGTCGCAGTCGAGGTAGCGTGTGCGCAGCAGTAAGGTCGTGTTGTGGACCATCGGCAGCACATGGGTTGCCTCAACCTGTAAACGGGGGTGCACAAGCAGGATGGTTAGTAGGAGATTGTAAATGAAAAAACCGGCCACGTGTAACTCGGGAAACTGCTTACCTGACGCCGCTGAAACTTCAGGCTTAGCAGGTTGAGCTCCTTCAAGACGTCAGAAAGGAAGAACAACAGGAAATGGAACTTATAGCTCGTGACGACGTGATACATCTTCTTGTTTGTTTCGTGCAACACCATGACTGCAGCAGGAAAAACCTTCACCAGGCGCTGGATGGCGTCACCACGCGACAACCACCTGACGTCCTTGATGCCTTGAACTTCAAGCTGGGTCTCGCAAATGACCTCCTGAAGCTCTTGAAACCGGGCGTGGTTAACACAGGAACGACCGAGGTTCTCAACCACGGCGCGGACCACCTTGTCCACGACGCTGAAGTCAGGATGCTTGGCGGCAGCATCCTTGGCCGCCAAGGCCTCCCTGCAAGACAGCAGATGGTAACATTAGCACGGGTTTTTTTTTTAAAAGTAGGCAGGAAACGCGCAGTAACAACGCCTACCTGTGCGCGATGCAGTGAGACGACACAAGGTGAGGAACCTTGACTTTCAGGCGCGCGGTGACTCCGTTGTGCTGTCCAAGCATGACGGAAGCACCATCAGTGCTCATACCGGTGAGGCGCTGTAGGTCGATGCCGGTACTCTCCAGATGCGTCAGGAGCACTGTGGTGAGTGACGCGGCGTCACACTGCTCCACACTGAGCAAGGCGAAGAACTCCGTCACGGGTGCGTTGTCACGCATGAACGTCAAATAGACGATCATGTGCTTCCCCCGCCGTCGGTCGGTGCTCTCGTCTAGCTGGATGCCAAGGTACGGACTGTCGCGGATGTGCTTCAGCTGGCGGGACTTGAGGTAGCACACCATGGTCTCGACCAGTTGTGCGAAGCCGTACCTGAGACACCACGGGTTGATACTCGTTAGACTCGTAACCAAATAACAATAAAAAGATGAGTAAAACGGGACACTTACTCGCTGTAGTACGTCCCGTTCTCCTTCAGGGGCAAATCCGGTGTCCCCTGCTCTGCCATGAATTGAACCAAAGCCACGAAAAGAACAATGGGAGCATCAGACTTGCAAATGAATAGCACGATAGCCATCAACCGAGCAATACGCTTGACATCAGCGTCCCCACGGTGGAAGTCAGCAATTGACTTCTGCACTTTCTTGACGCCGTCGCGCTCCTCCTTCCTCAAGACCGCGGCCTCGTGTTTCATACTGTGGTGATGCTTGCGCATCGTCTGCTTCTGGATGTCGATGCCGCCATCGCCGTTACGCCCGTATTTGTAGTTCGGGTCACCGAAGACCATGCAGACGCTGCAGCGCATGCACAGGCGGCCTGCCTTGTTTTCGGAGATGAGGAGCCAAGGAAAATACCGCTGCCACTGCTCCTTGCACTTCAACTGAAGCTCCTCAACCGACAGTTGCTTGCCCTTCGGGTCTTCGAAGTCTTCACTCGCGGGTTCAGGTTCTGGTTCCGCGGGGCGCGGAAGAACTGACGGTGCTGGCTGAGTCGGACCGCCCGGACGGCAGACGGTGAGAACACGCTGTTTATACCGCTTCTTCATAGATCTGTCAGGCAAGACGGGGTTAGCACTGCGAGAGGTTGTAGCGGCCGACACTGGAGGGATGCTCTTATTTGCACATTCGTCAGGGAGCGGGGGGGATAACAGCGTTGTTGGGGTAGTCGTTGCTGGCACGTGTTGATCGCCATTTTCCGAGTTGGGCAAAGGTACCGCAGCAGAGGTCGACGCAATCGGAGGGGCAGCAGAAGCGATCTGCTTGCCCCGCGTTAGGAAGTCTAGGGCGGAAAGCACGGGCTCCCCATCGCACGGTCCGCCGGCTGTGACGGCCATAGCCTAAACGCTGGGAAGCGTCACGCTGGGAAATCAGACGCTGGGAGGGAAACGATCCATGCTCGGCTGGGAGAGAGGTGAGGACGAGCAGGAGAAACAGGCTTGTTTTCACGCCAGACCCAGCTGCATGAAACCTCATCACCGTGCACTGCACTCAGAACCGAAAGGCGGTGCGTGTTGGGAGCGGGGGGCACTACGACCACAGTGATGTGTTGCGCGCCCTCTACGAAAAGCAAATGCGCTGGCACAACGGGACAGCGCGTTGTCGTGCCTGTGGCTGGCGTCGGCGCCGACAGCCACCCAAACGACAAACACCTGGCAGCATATGCCGCAGATACATGCCAGCGAGGCTGCACAAGGCAGTTATAGAGCTGTATAAGACACGCGTAATGAATGCGTGCAGTTACAAGGCAGCAATCGGCTGTACCTGTGGTGGTCCTGTCCTCTGGTCAACTGGGCCTATGGCCTAGTGGGTCAAGTTGTCGGTTTCAGACGAAACCGAACTCGCTATCTGTATCCTCAGATAAAAAATTCTACACGTCTGAAAAAATCATACGAACTTAAAAGTCAAATCTTGCTCATCAGATGAGAACAAACACAAAATCTTAGGATTAAGATGAATACAAAAAAACCAGTCTTAAACGCAGACCATCAGACCAAATTGGTCTGATAACGAGAACCCTGCTGTAGAATGTTTTTGCACTTGAGTTTTTCTTTATTTGGATGAAATAACAATGTATAATGCATATCCTGTCCTATATATGCGTGCATTTCCCATTATAAGTGGCATAAGAGAGATTTAAATTGGTGTGACGAACCTTCCACTTTAATGTTGCCTTACTTCCTTGCTATACTATTGATACTGCCCTAGTCTCTGTGTCTATTCTTGAATACATTAAGCATTTAATAGCGGGTATATATAATAGCCGTCCCCCGAAAGTCCCTTCCCCTCTTACGAATGCTGCCCAAACGCCCAGCGCCACCCTGCTTTTTGAACGTTTTGGAGGGGAAGGTGTTCCATCCAACCCATCTGGGTTCAGAATTTTATGACACACTTCAATCACGGTACCCAATCACGGTACCTAGTAAAAGTCACGAATTCATTCTAGGCCAGCAGTGCTGAACGTAAAAGAAAGAGGACAAATTCTGAGAAAAGTGGCGATTTTCAGTCTGATAAACTATGTTATAGAATTCCAGGTAGGAGAAGGAAGATAGTTGTTCCACGTGCACTGACCTGAGAGGGCCGAGGTCTGCGACGGCGCGTCTCCAGCAAGTAGGCACTGCCCTACTACACCACACTCAGAACGGACGGAACTGCAGTGTACCGCAAATTCTGGAGATGCATCTGGAGCCACCCTCAAATGTCCAGCCAGAACGTTCTCCATGAAGGCTCTTTTTCTGGCAGTTAAGGTGAATCAATTTGGCAATTCTTGAGAATGCCGATCCCAAAGTTGCCTTCACAACCGCTGCATGCACCCAGTGTTACGTCCTTCGATGGCTGAACGTGAGATATAATGCACTTCACCTCTTGATGTTGAATATGCCGACGGAAGCAGTAGGAGAAAAGGCTTTCTTGCTGGCGGGCTCATGGTAGAGTGGACTGACCAAAGCTGATGGGTGCATTGCATCGTATGAACTCGCGGCCCGCCGGAAGTTTCGAGTTTGAAGGCCGCCGTTTCCTGGATATAGCTGCTGAATGAGTGTAGCAGCACGTAGTATATTTTTACACATGCGTTACAGTTAACATTCCGAACTGGAGTGAGTGAGTGGTGAGTTCCATGGCACTGAGAGTCGAAGCGTGACTTGAGCTGCGACCGTTGATTGGTCATGAGAGGCCGGCACAGGCTCAAGACTGGCGCTTCGGTCAGCAGCAATCGCAACGCATCCGATTCTGGGGCCAGCCGCACGAAGCACCCAGCTCTCTCACCGCATTTTCTCGTCGCAATCGCGTGTGTCAGCGCTTTCATTTTATTCGCGCTTGTGAGTTTGCAAGCATCGATACGCTCGCAGTACGGCTCTCCCGAATCTGGCCGTGTTTTGCGTGAAGCTAAAAACATCTCGTCCAATGAGTCCACGCCACGTGTCATTAGCGGCAGATTCCAGCCAGGTGCAGACGACTTGACGTCAGCTAGTAAGCAGACAGACTCGATCGAACAATCACCGCCGACCTATCCAGAAACGTATGTTTCTCCCCCTGGCGCAGGCATCCGGCAGAATGAGGGGGTTGCGAAGGCAGAAGGGGCTGCGGAGAAGTGGGCTGAGGAACAGGCGGAAAGGGGGAGGAGCATCGAGCGAACGGAGGGGGCGGAGCGGAAGGATGCGGAGAACAGGGAGCGGGAAGCGGGTGGGGGCCGAGCGGACACGGTCGCGGGGACGGCCGGTTTACGATCGATTCAATCTAGTTTAAGGACAGGTGCTGACTTACCGGCAATGGTATCGATACTGTCAGGTTCTACGTCCGCGTTACAGTCAGACTCGCCTTTTACTTCGTCCCAGGCCTCCTCGGCGCAGGCTGGGGAGAGCCTCCGCCCGCTGTGGGACGTGCGCGCGGATCTGCGCGGCGCTGCTGCGCTCTCCAGCGCGACGGCCGAGCAGGTGATGGCGGAGGCGGGGGAGACGGCGCGGGGGATGGACGAAGAGAGCGCCATGGACGAGCCTGAGGCGTGGCTGAGCGCGGGGACGGCGGAAGGGGATGCGCGGGCGGAGGAAGAACACGCTTGCGGAGGAGGAGATGGGCGGACGGCGGAGTCAGGGGAGGGGAACGGGCAGGAGGGCGACGGGGACGCGAGGGAAAAGGTGGACGGAGATGCGGGAAAGGCAGGGAGGGGAGATGGGAAGGGGAAGGAAGAGGGGGTTGCGGGGAAGGGAGAGGCAAGTGCGGGAGGTTGTAACAGGGAAGCGGATATTGACTTACAAGGGGTAGAGGAGATGGTGTGGGGGAGAGAAGGGGAGATGCATGCACAGCAGCATGGCAAGGAGCAGTATGATAGTAGCTTTAAGGATGGCATGGGCGGTGCTATCTGTAGCACCGTCCAGTGCTGGTCGCCTAGAGACGATCCTGACTTCATGCTTCTCCTCTCCAACCCCTCCTCTTTCACCTCCTCCTCCTCCTCCTCCTCCTCCTCCTCCTCCTCCTCCTCCTCCTCCTCCTCCTCCTCCTCCTCCTCCTCCTCCTCCTCCTCCTCCTCCTCCTCCTCCTCCTCCTCCTCCTCCTCCTCCTCCTCCTCCTCCTCCTCCTCCTCCTCCTCCTCCTCCTCCTCCTCCTCCTCCTCCTCCTCCTCCTCCTCCTCCCTCTCCTCTTTTCCCCCCTCCTCCTCCACCCCCCCCTTCACCCTCTCCTCGGCTCTCCCCCCACAAGCCGGCCGCCCCACTTACACCCGCCGCCCGCTTTCGCGCACAATTAAATCTGATTCGCTCGCCCGCGTGTATCTTGATGCGATGCGATACAAGGGGCCGGGGATCAATGCTGCGGTAGAAAAGGAGGAGGAGGAGGAGGAAGAGGAGGAGAAGGAGGAGAAGCGGAAGAAGAGGAGGAGAAGGAGGAGGAGGGGGGGGAGTAGGAGGAAGAGGAAGGAGGAGAGGAAGAGGTTTGAGGAGAGGAGAAGGGAGGAGGATGCGGGGCAGGAGGGTAGTCAGGGAGGAAAGTGGGAGAGGGAGGAGGAGGGGGAGGATGGGGGGAAGAGAAAGGGTGAGCAGGAGGAAGAGGAGAAAGGGCCAGGTGTGCTGGTTATTACAGGCAAGGGAAGTATTACAGGCAAGGGAAGTATTACAGGCAAGGGAAGTATTACAGGCAAGGGAAGGAGGAGATTAATGGAGCTGAGCAAAGCAGTTCCCTCCAGCATCAGCAGCGGCGGCGTCAGCGACAGCAGCAGCAGTGTTCCTGCCACAAACACAGGCATTAGCAACACCAACAATATCAGCAGCACTAGCAGCACCAGCAGCAGTACCACGATTGCAGCCGCCGCCGCCGCCGCCGCCAGCGCCGCCACGAGCGCCAGTAGCATGAAGAGCAACTCTACGTCTTCCTCTCATCTCATCCCCCCGCCTCGCACCCTCCGCGGCCCCCCGTGCCCGCGCTTCGCATACACATACCCGGGCATGCCCCACGTGGCGTCATGCTGGGTGGAAGGGGTGGTGGACGAGAGTGCAGTGGGTGCGTCTGTGCCCAGCACTTGCGATAACCCCGCGGATAAGCGCTGCATGGGGAGCGAGGACAGGGCGGAGCTGCCCGTGTGGAACGCACAGGTGAGGATGGAAGGGGGGAAGGGGGGTGGGGGCGTCGTGCTGGGTGGATGGGTTGGTGGGTGGACGAGAGTGCAGTGGGTGCGTCTCTGCCCAACATATATGAGAACCCTGTGGATAAGCGCTGCATGGGGGGGGGAGGATACAGGGCGGAGCTGCCCATGGGGAGTGCACAGGTGAGGATGGAGAGGAGAGGGGACGGTGGGGGTGGGTGTGGCGTCGTGTTGGGTGGAAGGGGTGGTGGACCAGAGTGCCGTGAAACAACCCAGCGGTAAAGCGCTGCATGGGGAGCGAGGACTGGGCAGAGTTGCCGGTGTGGAAGAGCATACAGGTGGGGATGGTGAAGGGGGAAGGGGGAGATTTAGGGGACGAGAGTGTAATGGGTCCCTCGGCGCCCAGTACCTGCATTTACCCCTCGGATAAGCCCTGCATGGGGGATGAGAGCAGGGGGTAGCTGCCTGTGTGGAGCACACAGGTGGGGATGAATGAGGGGGTGGACTTGGGGGCTTGGGGTTGTACTATTGGGGTCAAGACACCACACCACACCACACCACACCACACCACAATTCGAGGGTCGCTTGTATAGGATACACCACACCACACCACACCACACCACACCACAATTCGAGGGTCGCTTGTATAGGATACACCACACCACACCACACCACACCACACCACATGGTACAGCCCATTCTCTTTCTCTCCTAACTCGTCATCTCAGTTAGTCATCTGGATAAAAAGGCCTGAGCACACTCCATTGCTGCCTTTAATCACAACGAGTGTGCTCACCCCAAAGCTTTCCCTTGCTAAGATAATCCCCTCTCCCCTCTCCCGTCACCTATCTCCTCTCTCCCCTTTCCCCTTTCCGCTCTCCCTTTACCCCACTTCGTCCCACCCCTCAGCTGCTACTGCTGCACGATGTGTACTTGACTGCACACGGGCGAGTGCACAACAGCACACAACCGCACCTAACCCCTCCCTCTTCCCCACCTCCTCCACCCCTCGGCTGCTGCTTCTGCACGATGTGTACTTGACTGCACACGGGGCGAGGTTCAACGCCACGCATGCCGTTGACTACAACGCGTGGGCTCAGCTCAGGTCTACTGGCCTTTCCACTCCCTGATACCCTCCCCTCTCCCCCCTTCCTCCCCCAGTTGCTGCTGCTGCACGATGTGTACTTGGCTGCACACAGCCGAGTGTTCAACACCACGCCACACATGTATTTGACCACAACGCGTGTGCTCAGGAGCTCAGCTCAATGCATTCCCACTCCCTAATACTGTCCCCTCTGCCCGCCCGTCCTTCCCCCAGTTGCTGCTGCTGCACGATGTGTATTTGGACGCTCACGGGCGAGTGTTCAATGCCACTCATGCCTTTGACTACAACGCGTGTGCTCAGTTTGATAGCTCCACATTCACTTACTACGGTGGTGGCCCTACCATCAACTCCACCGTCCGCAGAGGAAAGGCCAGTCAGAGTATAGAGTCTGCCGAGTCTGCCGAGTATACGCAGGGGAATGCCAAGTTTGTTGATCGTGGGAGGGATGGCGTTAGCAGGAAGAGGGAGGCGCTTGAGGAAGCAGCTGAGGAAGGTGGGGAGGAAGGTGGGAAAGAGGCTGCTGCTACTGCTGCTGCTGCCGAAGCTTTTGCTGTTGATGGTGCAGGTAACAGGAGGCAGAGGAGGAGGGAAGTACATGACAGCAGGATTGGCGGGCGAGGCCTGCTGAGTGTGCTGTGGAAAAGGCCTGGCGGGGCCAGGCGTGGGAATGGAAGGATGCATGGGAGTGCTGCCGAGGGTGCAGAGAGTGAACCTGGTACTGAGGCAATGGCAGCACTTGATGCCCGGCCACATGGAGCACATGGGGCACATGGGGCACATGGGGCACATGGAGCACATGGGGCACATGGGGCACATGGAGCACATGGGGCACATGGAGCACATGGAGCACATGGAGCACATGGGGCACATGGAGCACATGGAGCACATGGAGCACATGGAGCACATGGAGCACATGGAGCACATGGAGCACATGGAGCAGATGGGGCAGATGGAGCAGATGGGGCAGATGGGGCAGATGGAGCAGATGGGGCGGATGGGGCAGATGGGGCGGATGGGGCAGATGGGGCAGATGGGGCAAAAGAAGAAGTTGAAGGAACCAGTGCAGAAGAAGTGGCAGCAGAAGGGAGTGCGAGAGCACAGAGAGCAGAGGAGCAGGAGGGACAGAGTGGACAGCAGAAACGGATATACAGACAGACAGACAGGAAACGAAGGGGGGGGGGAGGAGAAAGCATAAGTGGCAAGGGGAGGAATCGAGAAAGACGGCGACGAGGGAAGAGAAGGAGAAGAAGAAGAAAAAGAAGAGCAAGACAAAGAAAGGAAATTCCTCCTCCGACAATGGTTACTCACTTTCCCGCCCTCATCTCCCTTGCGGATCCCTTTGGCTGTAGCAACCGTGCCACCCTGCTTCACCTGCTCCCTGCTGCGCTCTCTCTCTCTCCTCTCCTCTCCTCCCTCCCCTCCTCCTCCTCCCGCATTCCGGTTGCATTCTCCGGCCCTCTTTCTGTTCCAAATGAAAATCCAGCTGATCCTGGGGCGGTGGAGAGCGGTAGCAGCAGTGACGGCAGCAGTAGTGACGACAGCAGCAGTGACGGCATTAGCAGCAGCGACGGCAGTAGCAGCAGCAGCAGCAATGGGGGCAGCGGCAGCAGCAGCAAGCAGAAGGAGATTGTGGGCGTGAGTCAGTGGGAGCAGGCAGTAGCGATTGGGGCTGTGGCATTTCTACAAGGGCAGACAGAAAGCACAGAAAGCAGTGCAGAAGGGGTGAGATGGAGAGCAGGTGTGGCAGGGGCAGCGGGAGCAGTGGGAGCAGCAGGGGCAGTAGGGGCAGCGTGGGGAGCAGAGGAGCATGGAGAAACGGCGCTTGTGCCTGCTGAGTCAAGTCAAGGGACAGAGGAGCACATGGAGCAAGAGAGGATGCTCGGGAGCATGGAGGTGCATGAAGTGCAGGAGGGCAGCCTGTTCTTCGCAGAAAGGCTCTTTCTGGTGAGTTGCTTTTGAGGCGCCTCAAAGGTCTTGTGAGGCGCCTCAAGAGGTGCATGAAGTGCAGGAGGGCAGCCTGTTCTTCGTGGAAAGGCTCTTCCTGGTGAGTTGCTTTGGGGCTTTCTTTTCTGCCCTTCCTCGCAACTCGCTCACCCGTCTTGTTTCTGAGAGATTTGAGTGCCCTCTTGAATCCTGCAGTACAATGTTACACGGCACACTTTCCTGCTTTCATGCCTTCCGCGTACCTCGTTTAGCTGTTTGTTTCTGAGAGAATATGTGTCATCTTTGAACTTGGTAGTGCAGTGTCACACGGCACACTTTCCTGGTCGCCTTGAATGCGGTTCTCCATATCCGTTCTTCTTATTGTTCCTTTTGAGACGTCTCAAAACTCTTCTATTTTCACGTCGCTTTGAACGCGGTTCTCCATATCCGTTCTTCTTATTGTTCCTTTGTCCTCCTCTTCCCTCTCCCTTCTCCTGTCTCCCCTCTCCCGTCTCCCCTTTCCCCTCTCCCTTCGCCCCTCGCCCCTTCCCCCCTCCGCCCTCCCCCCACCCCCTCTCCCCATGACAGCCACTGCACCAGCGCTGTGGGCGGCCCAGCAGGGCACTATGGCAGCGCCTGCGCTCGCTGCATCTGCTGCCCAAGCAGCCGCCCCCGCTTCTGCCACCACGTGCGTGCTCCTCTCCCAGCTCACCCTGCCCTGCCAAGAGGCCTTAAGTCACAGAGCAGCAGCCTGATTGTGAAGGTGTCTGAAAGTGTCCAAAAAGTTTCCAGAAAGTGTCCAGAAAGTTTCCAGAAAGTGTCCAGAAAGTGTTCAGAAAGTGTCCAGAAAGTTTCCAGTAAGTGTCCAGAAAGTGTCCAGAAAGTGTCCAGAAAGTTTCCAGAAAGTGTCCAGAAAGTGTCCAGAAAGTGTCCATCTTTCAGAAAAGTAAGCATAGTTGGCAACACTACTCAAAGAACATCATTCTGACTCTTCAGGCGAATATAGTGTGCGCCTTTTCCTCCGCTTATCTACTTCTCTCCTCTCCTCCCCTGTAATTCCACCCATAGCAGATTCCACCATCCTCTCCCCTCCCCCCACGCACTCTCAAGATTTTTCATCTGGGGCCGACTGGGTGGTAGTGGTGGGGGTGGATGCCCCATGGGACATGCATGAAGGCTCACCTGAAGATTCACCTGAAGAGCGGCAACAGCAGCGGCAACAGGAAGGGAAACAGGACCAGCAGCAGCCGCAAAGGCAGCAGCAGGCGCAGCAGCAGCAGGCAACTGGAAGTAACTCATCCAACTCTAGCCCTCCCGAACCCCGCCCGCGCCCGCTCGTGCACTCCTTGGATCTGCTGCAGCGCCTGCAGCAATGGGCCGGGCAGGGGCGGGTGGTGAAGTACCGGCAAGGCAGCATGCGTGTGGGGGAGCGCAGGGCCCTGTTTGGGAGAGCTCGCCTGCTGGTGGCGGCTCATGGCTCTGTGCTGCCCAATATGGTCTTCATGCCCCCGGGTGAGGCTCTCTGCTTGCTTGGTCTTCATGCTGTTGCATGGTTCTCGCTGCGGCTAGCCTGCTGGTGGCGGCTCACGGGTCTGTGCTGCCGGATATGGTCTTCATGCCCCCATGTGAGGCTCTCGGCTCTCGGCAGTGCTTAGACTTCTGTTTTGGTGGTGTTGTGCTGCTTCACTCTCCTGCTCACCTCCACTCCCTTCACCATGCATCCAGACCTTCCCTTTCCACCCACTCCACTCACAATCCCCCGTCCCAACCCCTCTTCCAAATTCTCCTCAGCCTTCCCTCCCGGAGCCACAGTCATCAAGCTATGCATCGCAAGCGGCTTCTGAGGCGGCCCGAACGTCCTAACTACACTATTCTCCCCACGCTCCTCAACCCCCTCCCCCCTAACCCCTCTTCCCCACGCTCCTCAACCCCCTCCCCCCTAACCCCTCTTCCCCACGCTCCTCACCCCTCTCCCTCCAGGCACCACAGTCATTGAGCTGCACATATCAAGCAAGGCAGGCCCGTCTTTCCACCTTCTAGCCGACGTGTGCGGCCTCAACTACCACCAGCCATCTCACCCACTCAACTCACTCTCCCCCTCTCCTCCCTTCTCGCCTCACCCTTCCCCCTCCAGGAGCCACAGTCATCGAGCTACGCGTAGCGAGCGAGGGAGATCCGACCTTCCACCTTCTAGCCGACGCGTGCCGCCTCAACTACCACCTCTTCCTAGCCGGCGCCTCTTTCAGCCCCTACGAGCCTTCCCACCCGCTCAGCCTCGCCACGCAAAGGGTGCAGTTGCACCAACCACGGGTCCTGCTCCGAACACTCAGGGCAGCGGTGGTGCGTATAAAGAGAGAATGAAAGGAGAATGAAGCAAGCTTTAAGAGGATGTGAATGAAGTCATTGCCTTGCCTTGCGAGCTGCCAGGCATCATGTGCAGGACCTTTGCAACAAATCAATACAGTATAAAGGCTTGGTCACTACTACTACAGTATATATCATGGCTGTTTGAGTGATCTGCACTGCAGGGAAGGTCAAAATCCTGGCCAGTATGCTGGTCTGCCTATCTTCAGTTCTTGTCTGGGGAAATATGATATGCCACGACAATACTCCTGATGTATCATATTATACCGACATGTGTACGTGTCAAACTCAGGGATATGAAGCATTTCCTTCACAATCTGAAAAGAAAGCAATTTGCAAAATCGGCACGAGCTAGTGGACAAGATCAAAGATGCGTAGCCCTACTGCAAGTTGCTCCACGGCACACCATCTACCCTCCGTTAACTACCAGTAAGGTCTTCGCTCCAATCACCCAGAATGGTGCAGTGCAGCAGCATGTTTCACCACTCCCTGTGTATGGAAAACAAACGCCCAGTCTTCCTGCCTCTTCCTTATCCTTCCTTTCCCCATTACATCTCCCTCCCTCCCCTGCGTTCATCAGCCTACCCATCCTAAAGCATTCTAAGAAATAGAGCGCATTGCAGAATTAGCATGCACACAGCTGTACTGGTATGTACTGCAGCACAAGCCATGGTGGTATGCACTGCTATGGCCCAAGACCAGCTACGAAGCTCCCTCAAAAAACACCCCACGCTGCACATCGCCCCACACCACATACGTATATATACCAAAGACACCTCCCTTGATTATGCCAAGCACTCAGACATCGAACGCTCCCTCACTGCGCCTTGCCCTTGCTGGCGCTGCCTGGCTTGATGGGCTTGAGGCGTTCCTTGAACATCTCCACCAGCTCCTCCTGTGTGCGCTGCGGCTGCCCGATGTTCACATAGCTGAATACACAGAGAGGACAGTTCAGAGGGAGGGGGTGGGGTAGGGGGGTCAGGAGACTTCTGAATCGTCTCATACGGTGCTGCTTGAACATCACCACCAGCTCCTCCTGTGTGTGCTTCAACATAGCTGACCAGGGGGAGAAGAGGGAGAGACGGCAGTGGGAGGCGCGGAGTGAGCGGGGAATAACATGGATGGCATAGGGAGCAAGGGAAACGGGAGGGCATGTGTGCAGTATGCATGCGCTTGTGAGGAAAGCGAAAGACGAGGCCTGAGGAAGGGAGAGGAAGAAGCGGGCAAGGGGGAGGAAGCAGAGGTCACTGAGGTGGGCTTGGCATGGCATGGCATGGCATGGCGTGGCATGGCAATACATGGTACGGCATGACATGGCACATGACAACACAGCACAGCACAACACAGCACAGCATAGCCCAGCACAGCACAGCACAGCGCAGCACAGCACAGCAAGGCACGACATACTAGGTGGCGAGTTTCTTGAGCTGGCCTGTGAAGACGAGGATGCCCACGTCAATGAAGTGCAGCTCGCGGAACACGATGGCGTCCTCCCTCGCGTGCACGTCCAGCGTCTCCATGAAGCGGTGCGGCAGGTCCAGCCTGCCAGCCCAGCGGGAATGGCATGAACCAGGGGAGATGAGCGGATGGAGCATGAAACAAGAGTAGTGGAGACGGCGGGTGCGGAGAGGGGGAGGGGTGAGAAGGTGGGGCAGAGAGATGAGCGGACGAGCAGAAAGATGCAGGGATGGGCATGGAAGTATGGCAGAGCATGTGAGGGTACGTGAGGGCACATGAGGTCATGACAGGGCAAGTGAGGGCATGTGAGAGCATGTGAGGGCATGTGAGAGCATGTGAGAGCATGTGTGGGCATGTGAGGGCACATTAGGGCATGTGGGGGCATGTGAGAGCATCACAGAGCACAGAAGGCAAAACAAGTATGGCAGGGTACGGTAATGTATGGTGTGTGCGGGCATGTGAGGTGCGTACCAGTGGATCTGCGAGTTGGCGTGGTGCAGAATGTGGTATCCGTCGTTGAAGGTCTTCTGGTTGTCAGGCGCGTTCATGCAGTTGTAGCTGCGAGTGGGGACACGCGCACACACACACGAGCATGCACGACAGGCGTCAGAGGCACGAGTTGGATTGAGGGGAATCTTCGGTGGGTATGGCAGGGACGGCACAGGGAGTGGCACAGAGAAGCAGCAAGGTTGGCAAAGATGGCAGAGGAGGATGGAAGGACGGCGGACAACATGCAGCATAAGGGGGGAGAGGGAGGAAGAGAGGGAGTGGGAAGGGAGGGAGGGAGGGAGGGAGTCAGGGAGGGAGGGAGGGAGGGAGTGAGGGAGGGAGGGAGTGAGGGAGGGAGGGAGTGAGGGAGGGAGGGAGTGAGGGAGGGAGGGAGTGAGGGAGGGAGGGAGTGAGGGAGGGAGGGAGTGGGGAGGGAGGGAGAGAGGGAAGGAGGGAGGAGAGAGAACGAGAGGGAGAAGAGGGGGAGGGAAGGAGTGCGGAGCGTACGTGAGGGCGTAGTTGCTGCGGGAGTTGTTGGGGTCGATGAAAATGTGCTGGCTGAAGTTGCCGAACATGATGAGGAACGATGTCAGGCAGAAGGGCACGAACACCACCTGGTGCCACCCACACAGAGTGCCGCGTAGTTGGGGAAAGGGAGGGGAGGACGGAAGAGTAGCAGATACAGGGGGGAAGGATGGAACGGGAGAGGGGCGAGGGGCGAGGGGAGAGGAGAGAGATGAGTGAGGAATGGTGAGATGGGACGCCACGGCAAGAATTGGGTAAAGCTGAACAAGTACATCGGAGTTGGGCAAACCGCCGATGCTACTTCCAATGTAGGATCTCATGCTACAGCCTTGTGAGGATCTTCCAGTGTGCCTCACATTCCCCCTCCGCTTTGAACCGTGCCCACTTCCTCCCACGTTCCTCCCCGCGCGACTTGACTCACCCATAGCGTGGCAATAGGCGCGACGAAGAAGAGCAGGAGAAGGGAGGAGTAGAGGGAGATGGAGACGGCGCTCTTCACGCACGCGCCGTACCGCCGCGTGCGGAACGCGTACAGCGGCATCTCGAACGGCGACAGCAGCCAGAAGCGCAGCCAGTACCTGCGCGGGCGGAGGGCACACGCGCGCGCGGGGGGGGATGCGAAACAGAGCGCGGGAACGGGGAAGAGACGAGACAGCGGAGAGGGGGGGGGGGGGGGGGGGGGAGGGGGGGATAAGGGAGACGGACGAAGACGGAGGACGGAGAGAGAGGGGACGGGAGGGGGAAAGATGAGCTGAGGCACGGCCTGGGGTGGGCAGCGTCAGTAAGAGAGCAGCGATCGGCGCGCAGCGGCCGGGGAGGAGGGAGCAAAGCAGGGAATCGAGGAGGGGGCACAGCAGAGGTGAAAGGAGGCGGCACAGCAAATGTGGAAGGTAGCGGCAGAGAGCAGAGCAGAGCAGAGAAGGGTGCTTACACGACGAAGTGGAGGAAGTTGTCGCGCTGGTAGGGCTCCGTGGACGAGAGATCGTTGGGGTACAGGTTGTTCTCCTGCTCGCACAGATGCACAGCGGCACAGCGGCACACAGGCGCGATCAGACAAGGAGGGAATGACTTGAAAGGCGCAGAGTGAAGGGAGCAGCTTGGGGGGAAACAGGGTGGGGGGAGCGGGGGGAGGGAAACGGGGGGTGGGAGAAGGGCGAAGGGAGCAGGAGGAGGGAAGAAGGCTGGGGAGAGCAGGTACTCACAACGTGGTGCATGATGCAGTGGTGCAGGCGATAAAAGCCCGGCGCAACGCCGAACAAAATCGAAACGAACGTGGGCAGCACGTGCGACAGAAGCTTCCCCGCGAACGTCTTCTTGTAGATCTGCGGCGCGCGACGAAGGAACAACGAGGCTTGAAGAGAAGTGAGCGAAGAGACGATCGAGAAAGAGGGACTCCACGAGAGTTTCCCTAATGAAGGCCGGAGCGTTTCAACCCGAGCGGATCAAGCACAGGTTGCTGCGACTGGTTCGAAAAGGAGACGGAGAACGAAACAACGAGTGAGAGAAAATGATTTGCAGGCCGGGCGTGACGCTGCACGTCGCTCGATAGCTACAACGGCCACGTCGGCATCGAATGCCACTTTTTGTCAAGTTTTAGTCAGATCTGATCCTCCCCGATCAAACTATATCCGAATCTCTCTGCCCCTCCTGTTGGAGCAGTTCGAACTCACCCTTCCACGCACGCTCTGAATGGAACTCAGACCTAGACATCCGTTTTTCGAATGTGCCGACGCGAAACCCTTTCAGATCAGCGAAAACTCAGCAATGCACCGCACGATGCAACGCGGGCACGTCGGCTTAAACCCGCACAGGCACGCAGCCGCAGCGCCGTCGTACCATGAGATGCTCGGAAAAGTGCAGGGCGAGCATGTATCGTTGCATGAAGAGCACGTAATGCAGAACCACGTAAGTCGCTCCGATCAGGTTACCCTTCCACCCGCCCACCCCGCCAAGCCCGGGCGTGGTTATCAAAACGACCGCCAGAGCTGCCGGCACGCTCATGCAGACGATGTTGAAGGTAGCATAAGCCAACGGCGCGTCCTTGGGGTGATTAAGCTGCGCCACGAGCCACGTGTCGATCCAGCGCGGAGGCTTGAAGAGGTACTCTTGACGCGTCGCGGTGAAATCCGTGTTCACTAGCTCCGGCGCGCCCTTTTTACGAACCTCCCCGTCTCCATCTGTGCCAGTCACGACGCGTTGCGAGATGACACTCTCGTGGGCTAAATAAGCCGTGGATCCACCAAGCGAACCTTCGGGTGGAGCCATGGTTCGTCTGGGTTTGAAAGACTTCTGAGAATTCGAATCGGAGAGACAGAAACGGGATGGTCAGGTAAATGTACGCTTAGCGGATCATCAGGACTAAGACCGGAAGCCGACGGAAATCGGTAGAGCAAGAATGCAAGAAATGGACTTCACTGGAGTTGGCGAAGTAAGCCAGATGCAATATCAATGAAATCTGCCATAAGCAACGATCTTTAAAAAAATATCTAGCACTTGACGAGTACGGAGATGACGCACCTGGGGAT